TACCAAAAAAAAGAAAAAAACCCAAAAAACAAAAACAAACAAACAAACAAAAAAACCGGATCAACAGCACACAACAATAAAAGAGAATGTCATGAGGAAAAGTATGAATGGGTGCTATGGACTATGTAACTCAACAGTGATCAAATGACCTGCACCATTCTTCAAAGGTCTGCATAAATTACTGCCCATATGCTGAATAAAAAATGTCTCATGATGACATGGATTCTGTTCTTCACACTATATAGCTATATAGTGCATGTAAAAATTTGTGATGGTTTTCTCTGATTATATAGCTATTAATCAACAGATAACAGATACATATCTAGTAGTAGTATCTCTTTCATCTGGAATTTCCATAATCATTTTTTTGATATTGAAAATGTATCTCCATATTTGAAAAGATGAGAAAACACTGGGACAAAAAACTTATGATAAAGACAAGACCCCTATTGTGGCTTGTGTCTAGATGTCCCCCCAAAGCCTTGTGTGCTCATAAGTGGGGCTTTTTGGAGGTGCCTGTAGCTAGGGCAATGGTACTGAAAAAATGAGACATGATATTGTTTATAAGGCAAAAGATGTTCATATGAATTGGTTTTTTCCAAACTAAAACCTCAGTGTTAAGATTTAATTGCAGTGTTGGCACTTTGTGATAAATAAGTGGGTTTTGGGTTGCAGTTTGGGCACTTGTCTCTAAAAGGTTCATCATCACTGTTCTAGGGTGTGTAGTATGGATTAAGAGTGTGTGATAACTAAATGGGCTTAACACAGTGCTGGGTGTGAATAATGGAAGGCCCACCTTGGGTTTGGATGACACCATTCAACAGGCTTGTAGCCTGGATGAGACAAAAGTCCAGAAGGCTCACTGCTTTCTGCTTCCTGCCTGGTCTGCCATAGACTGTTTTTCCTCTGCCACGTCGCTCTGCCACGCTGCCCTGCCTTGGAGTCAGATGATTATGGAATGAAACCTCTACAAACTGAGCTAAAATAAACCTTTCTTCCTTCAACTTTGAGTGCTGGGTATTTTGTCTCACAATGAGAAAAGTAACTAAGATAGTCCCCTTAAATGGAACAGCTGGAGAGAGACTCTGAGCTTTTTGGTGGGGTGGGAGTGCTTCTTATTAATATCTGAGTCTTCAGCAATTGGCCCAGAGTAAA